CTTCAAATTTTCAAATTCTTTTAATTTCCTTTTAGAAAGAAAAAAAAATTACATATATTCCTTCTTCAAATATACAATATATTTTTCATTTTCTAATTTTTGTTTCCTTTTTCAAAAAAATTCTTTTTTCGCTTATGTATAATTATGTATTTTTCTATTTTTTTAAACTTATTTCTTTTTATCGATGATATTTGTGATTGTATTTATTTAAAATATTATTAATTAATTTTTTGATTCTTATATTTGTAACTATATTTTTTTTACGGTATTTATTTAGCATATTAATTTACAACTATTTTTTTCTTATTTGTCTTTTTGATTTTAAAAAAATTATATTGTCATATTTAAATAATAATAATAAAAAAAAATTAACAAGTGCATTGTGCCCCCTCTGAACTAAAATCTTGGCTCCGCCCTTGTATATAGATATGTATATCCTTTGTTTTGGTTAATGATTATTTTTTTAATCCTTATGATTTGCATTATATAGAAGAACATTGCCATCTTTTTGGTGTCTGGAAGTTGCATTGTGTTCATGATATGATCTAAGAATAGAGGATTTGATCACAGATGCTTGCTTTTTGTGGTTTGTCAAATTGTTGCTTAATTTAGCACTTTCTATATCCTAGCTCCCACTTTGTTCTCTAGGATTGCCAAGTCTTCTACGCTTTTAGTTTAAAGAACATTTTTATTTCAAAGAGAAGACCTTGTTGAAATGTAATATGTATGTTCAAAGGGAAAGAAGCAACTTCCGTTTTTGTAGGATACAGCCCATTTTATGTATGTAGCCGTGACATAAATGATCTGATTGTTTTCGCCTCGACTTCTCATGGGATATGAATCCACTATACCCCAAATGATTTATTTGTTTCTTCTATCTGGTGTTGGCATGTCAATCAAGTAGATAATTGAAATGTATCAGCAGTTCCAGATGCTCTTGTCACAACTGCAACAATCATTAGGCAACTGAACAACTCCGAGAATCCACTAGTTGTACAAGCTCACACAATGTCCTGTTCCTGTACTTAACTGAACAAGCATGGTTTCTTCCACAACTAAGTACTGGGCCTAAGGTGAAAGACATGATCATGAAGGCTACATACAGAGAAAATATTGTAAGGCTTCTACTTTATTTTAATTCTAGTTGCTTCAATAAATTTACTTTGTCAAGGTGACAAATTAAACCAGTCATGTTGAAATAATGCTACTTTATTTTAATTCTAGTTGCTTCAATAAATTTACTTTGTCAAGGTGACAAATTAAACCAGTCATGTTGAAATAATGGTAGTATAATTCCATCAAGTCTGGGGATATTGTTGACTGAGAAGAGAGGAACTGAGTGTCTCTTCCAAGAGGTCAGGCATTGGAATCTGAGGAAGTTCCCAATCCTGATTGACACACACACCCACACACACACACACACACACACACACCACATAACATGTAGGAAAAAATGTGTAGACATGATGTCTATATACATCCCTTTGACACAAGTTTTTTTCTTTTCATAATTGGTGTTCTATTAAAGAAAGATCAAGCATTACAGCGCACAGAGGGCATACCCTCAAAGAAGAAGTAAATAAATGTCCCTCCAATAATGAGAAGGCCCATTTCCAGTACATCTAAAAATTTATATTTCAATTTTCAGTATAGCAAAGTCATATTTGATTGTGGCCAAAAACAATTTTGGGGAAGATGAGGTGCTGACTATATTAATGAGGAACAACCATGTGAAAGTTGAATTAATATTCATTTTCTTCGAGTTCAAACATAAGTTTCATTACTCTTGGTGCATTGCTTAGAGCCACGATCTTATTGGTAATGAATATTCATTTGCTTCGAGTTCAAACATAAGTTTCATTACTCCTGGAGCATTGTTGAGAGCTACGATCTTGTAAGTCACTTACTGCTATGCATGCGATGTGGCATTAATAAAAAAAGGTATCATCCTGGAGCATGGTTGATCATATGATTGATTTGTGAATTAGAAGAGAGAGCAGAAAATAGGGAGTGTGGAATTAGAAGGAATGACATTGCCCCATGCTATGTATAATGATTATAGAAATAGATGGAATTTGTAAAGATCTTTGTGGTTTCTTCATTCCTCCCTTGTGATTGTACTGAAACTTCAATAGTAAAATCTTTGTCATGGTATCAAGGCACCAGACAGTTTTAAGACCTGATATTTTGTTTTTTCAGTTAATTTTTTTGTTGTAGAAATTACTTTGTTTGGGTTTGAGATTAGTTGTTTGTGTATCATATATGAAGATATCATATATCATTTTTCTCTCCTTTTTTACTTTTGATTTGGTGATATTACTGAAATTTAATAAACAAATTTGCTTAAATGCAACTATAAAACAATTTGCGTAGTTACAGCTAACAGCATAGTTGATGGTTGTCTGAATCTTATTTTCACTCTGTCATATATTTGTTGAATTTAGCTTATTCGTTAAATTTAGATGGAATGTTAAAAGTTCTGATTGAGCTGCCTGGTAAAAGGACTGGTGACAGAAACTTGGTGTGGTCCATTTTTTCACTAAAAGATCTTTGTTTGCTAAATGCTATTTCTTCTTGTTTTTACTCCGAACTGTTCCCATGTTAGTTTGAAATTGTTTGGCTATAGAACACCGATTGTGTCAATTGGTTGTTGAATAAAATAAACTGAAATTCGGTAGCAATTTCAAACTATGCTATGTTGGTGAGCCTGCTGCCTTACAGTGCAGCTTTCTTTAATATGTGAATGCGAGCAATCTGATCTTAAACTTGAATTTATTTATTTATTTTTTATTTTTTTATTTTTTTATATATCAAGTTGCTTTGTGAGTTTATTGAGATGTGCTTCACTAAAATGCTCCTTGAATGTAGTTGAAATGTTAAAGTTCTGAAATGACAGGTGACAAAAACTTGTAACAGCTGTTTGCCTTAGTGAAGTTTTTTTCTGTTCTTATAGTAACAGCTGTTTGCGTAGTAAAGTTTTTTCTGTACCCGGAATATTATAGACTTTCTCATACTTCAGAATATTCAATACTCTCTTTCAAGAGATATGACACATCAATTCTTTGATGCAAAAAGATGTAATGAGTACCCCCATTTTTTAACAAGAATTATTGTAACAGCTGTTTGCTTAGTGAAGTTTTTTCTGTTCTTATTGATGGTGCATCTCTTGATTTTAAATGCTGGAAGTTATAAGATCAACTATGATGATGGCGACCATCAGACTTTGATAGCCTGTGACGAGGACTTGCTCCCACGCTTTTTTATTTCTTCTCACTTTTATTATTTTTATTATTCATTTTTAATGAATGGAAATTTGTATTGATGAAAAGAGAACAAGAGGGCACATAGCTAAGAAGCAAAAGGGAATACAAAATGCCCACACCTTTCCTTTGTAGGATGATTGAATTTAACATTATTGGACATTGCATGGCGAGTCCTCCTATTTACCTCACAAATAAAACTTACTACTTCGTCGGGACTTTGTGACTGCCCATGTGTAAAATATAAAGTAGGAAGAGCTGCCATCACTGCCTCCAACAAAATTGTTTGTACCAGCCTTTGACTTTAAGGCTCCGTTTGTTTGTTTGGACGTAAAATATTTTTTTATTTTCTGGTGTTTGATTGTCATAAAATATTTACGAAGAAAAAAAATATTAATATTTAATAAAAATAATTTATTCGTAAATTTTCGGCAAGTTATTTTACATGCCCTGCCCAACGGACTCGATCTCAATGTTGGCGTAGATCTTTGCCAAATACCGACAAGGTAAAATATATTTTATTTGAAAAATAAAAATATTTTTCAAAAAGATTTGAAAAATAAAAATATTTTTCAAAAAGAATATTTTACGTCCAAACAAACGGAGCTTAAGTTGCCTTTTTAAAGCTTTTATTTTTGAAGAAATTTTCTCATCAATGAAATTTAAAGTAGCTAATTTAGATCTTCCAAGAAGAGAAGATAGACCCAAATATTTGTTTATCCAATCTCTATTTAGGATTCCCAATCTACACACTGACCAGCCAAAAAAAATTACCAGACTTTTCATAATTTACCAGGAGTATCTAGCCAAGATAGATTTCAGATTATCAGATGGATGGTTTGTTGCATGACAGAAAAGAAGTGCATAATCCGCGAAAAATAGGCAGTAGAGCTGCATCCTCTATGATCTGTTTGCCATCACTTTGGAGTAAAGTGACGAAGAGATTTTAGGCAATGGATTACTGACTCGAGAGTAAGCCTTGACCCTTAAAGCTCCGACTGCTACTGGTCTATACTCTATAGTTTCTCAATCCACTTTTTCACTTGACAGAGGAAGACTCGAACTCATAAACTCAGATTACAACAGGAACGAAGACCCTTCTCTCTCTTGTACCCTCCTAGTACACTGACACAATAAAGGAGATAAGCTTCATCTTCCTAACTGACTCGGATCACCATATTACAATAAATACGGGTTCCAAAGAGTGCTTAAAGGAGACAGTGAGTATTTTTTGCAAATGCAACGAATTCATTAAGGATTGTGTGGCTTGTTGCCACATTAGCAGCAAGAGAGACGAGGAAGAAAACATATGCAGACATGAAGATACCTTAACTGGTAGTTATCGATCTCGATAGGTTTGCTGTACTCGTTACCATTTCCAGTGTCCTGCACAAGTATAAATCCAAGTACCATAAGACACATTGGAAGTTCTTAGATTGGGCAAAACAAGCCTCATTTTTTTTTTTTTTTTCCTTTAATTTTTGTTGTTGTCATGACATGTGCAAGGACGTTTACAACATATGAAACAGATATTCAGGGAGAAACCGAAGTCGGAGACACACGTAGTCTCTCATTTTCGAAAGTCAATTATGTTCGTAAGGAGACCTTCCTTTGATAAAATCGATGAAGCGTAATGCAAGACTGACAAAACAAAATAATTTAAAGTTCGTCAATATAAACACAAATGCAGTTCACAGTGAATCAAAAAATAATTTGATATAGAGGTGTCAGCCTGTCAGGTCATCCTCTGCAATCGCTATTGCCGTTCATTGGAGGTAGAGGTGCCACGCCTTCAGAGTCACCAAATAATAAATGATACCAACCTGTCTTCGCCTGATACAAAACTCTGTTATTAACATTTTGACAAGAAGGATAGGTACCCTTCTCTTCTTCTCCAAACACAACATGGATCCCAAACTTCTTTGGCTTGAAACAATGCCACAAAAACCGATCCACAAACACTGAAACATCCACTTCATCGCCAGCTTCCAATACATTTCCAAAATTCCAATGGCTTAACCATACCATGTCTTCGCCTTCATCCGGAACACCTAAGAATGTTGGGCTATATGTCCACTTCAGATCCTTTGTCCTATTACTCACTTTAATGTGAAACTCATTCCAACACTCAGTTATGGGATCATGAGAATCATCATAATCTCTATTGGAAAGTGCATAGACAACACATACATTCGAGCGTTGGAACTTGAAATTAGGAAATGAAGGTACCTTAAAACATATTGAAGATCCCAAGCTCTTTATACTGAACCAGCCTGGAACTTCACTACCAGGGAGAAAAGTGCTAAATATACCGAATTCACAGAGTCCCTACAGCATGAAAATCATAATTTTTTTAACTCTTACGGATATTTTGAGAGAGAGATGTGTGTGCGCGCGTGAGAGTGAGAGAGAGAGAGAGAGAGAGATCTCACCTGAATGGGAACTTTTCTTATAGTTCTCGTCATGTTATTGAACAAGTACACTTCAATACTTCTCAGGAATTCCAAGTCGGACAAGCCCAAATTTCTGATCATCACTTCATCAAAGTTTCCAATGGGTTCTAACTTGAACAATCTCTGAACCTCGGTTAGTTTGTCACACTCATCCGTCACCAAAGCCAGTGACTTCAACAGGTTTGGTAGATTTATTATCATTTCCAATGACCTGCATTTGGATAATTCCAAACTCACTGAACGCATTGGAAGCTCCGGAAGTAACTGGAGTGCTTTGCAGTTCTTTAAATTGAGTTCCTTGAGCATAGTGAGACATTTGATGCTCTCTGGAAGGCTACAAATTGGATTTTCACTTAGATCCTAGTACTGCAGCAGGGATAGGCTGCCAAGATCATTTGGAATAGCATCATCTGATAGGTTGCACCCAGCTAGACTCAAGCTTGATAATGAGCGTGGTAAAGAACACAATGAAAAGCTGATCGATTCTGGACTTCTTGTTCCCAATAGCCAATTCCGGAAGTATGAAGGCCATGATCTTACCACCGTAGTCATGGAGGGTGATTGACTTATGGCAACCCGGTCTGCATGGAGCATTTTCAAAGATTCCATCTTGCTTAGCTCTGTAGGCAACTTCTCGAGCTTTAAACAATGCGAGAGATTGAGTTTTTCAAGGGATTTTAGCTGGCCAATTTTAGATGGAAGCTTCCTAAGATTTTCGCAACCTTTTGGATTCAACAGAACTAGACTTCCTAATTCCCCAATTGATTCATGATCTTTCCAGATTGGGGACTTGTAAGAAGTTAGGCGTATTGGTAAGACCATGGGAATGATTGAGATTGAGGATTTTCAACAATACAAGCAACTGTATACAAAAGTAGAAAATATTAGTATAACACACTTGACAACCTAAGCATTTTACCAACGCACCACGCAATGGCCTATCAGAAATTAGTGTATATGAATATTAATATTAATCACCGAAGAAAAGAAAATTAGGAAAATAGTTAGTAGCAGACCTTGTTTCCATTCCAAGCTTGTTTCATGTTGCTATTGCGCATGTCAAGGGCAACTAGACTCTCCAGATGAAGGCCACTTGGTATAAATTTTAAAGGGAACCCATGCCAACACAACCACCTTAAATTTCTAGGGAATTCTTCAAGGGAACCCATGCCAACACAACCACCTTAACTTTCTAGGGAATTGTTCATAGTCTCCTCTGAGCCTTGCATTATTCAGCTGGAGTAGTCTTAATCTGTGTATACTTGAAAATGCATCAATTTGCAAATCTACTCCATTTGATGTGGAATGCGATCTTGTTGAGGCAGAATTTATGGGGAGCCGAGAGAAGAAGCCTAGACGACGCCGCTTCAATGAATTGTTTCTGGAAAGTAATGTAGGTTTGTCAAGAAAATCTTCTGAATGGTGTCTTTTTGCATTATTTAAACCAAAGAATTTCTCGGTGGACCTATCTTCCTTAAAGGCATTCAAGTTGAGAATGAGGCCTTCAATGGAATCTGTTCCCTGATAAGAGGACTTGAAAAGTAAACACACCAACTAAAAAATATACAAATCGATATTAAGAGAAGCAAATTTCTTACAGTTTTTTCAATTAATACACTAAAGGCGTCCTTATGATGCCACAATCGGCTGCGTTTCCCAGGGTCCTTGGGAGATTCTTGGCGTATGATTTCTCTCCCAGTGTCCCGAAGCAACTGATGCATCGTCAACTTGTTATTTTCATCGATAGTTATGAGACATCTATCAATGAGATTGTGAATCCCAACTACTGGGTAGAAATCACACTCATCTAATATTGTAATTATGAAATCTTTATCCTTTCTAACAAAGAAACAAGCAATGTCAAGGAATAGATTTTTGTCATGGTCATCTTGTAAAGAATCAAAGCTTATTTTAAGTTTCTTTAATATCTGACTGTTAGGAATAACTTCCAATTTCTTTATTGTACTTTCCCACACTTCTACAGGTCTGCCACATAGAGAAGAACCCAGAACTTGAAGAGCTAAAGGAAGCCCTCCGCAGTAGTGTACAACCCGTTTTGAGTGCTCCAAGTAAACTTCAATGGGATGGTCTTGTCCAAAGGCATGCCAACAAAAGAGCTGAAACAGTTCATCATCGCTTAATTCCGTAACTTTGTGCATCTTATACCATTCATGTGCCTTCAACAATTGCTCATGTCTAGTTGCTATGACAATTTTACTTCCTGGATAAAACCACTCTCGCATTATGAGTACTGCATCTAATTGGTCTAACTGGTCCACATCATCAAGAACAACTAAAACTCTTTTACAAAAAATGGCATTTTTAATCTTGATGATTCTTTCATCAACACTGGCAATTTTTTCTTTTCTCCCCTTTTGAATATCTGAAAGACGTCGTTTTGTAAACTAACCAAACCATTGGGTTGTTCTGATATTTCTCTAATATTTGCAAGGAAGCTGCTACCTTCAAATTTGTTGAAATTTAGGTTATACACTATCACGACCCCGAAATTTCTAATAAAGTCATCAATTTTATACAAATCAAATACATCAAAATACACCCAGGATCACAAAAAATTACCCTCTTTTATACAAAATCAATTTCCTCAAATACACAAAAAAATCTCCAAATAAATAAAATAAATCCTGCAACGCCAACTCTTCATCCTAAGCTCGTCTCTAGCAATCCCCGTTCATCTTCGGTACCTAAAATTGGAGGGTGGTGAGACTGAAAGTCCTAGTAGGAAAAACCATAACAAGAATTTCATGGAGATTTAACAAAACAGCTTCATAAAATAAACATATACAGGTGAGTATAAACAACATACATATGCATTTAATTAAAACATTTAATCAAAACATTTAAGCGAAACCTCCCCATGCCATTCAAGGTATAGAGAACCCTACACTGTAAAAGATATATTTCCGCACTGGATCGTCAAAACCTCAAACCTCTGGCCTCCTCTACAACTCTCGGCCTTTCATTGTATCTCCATCTTGGCTCACACTTTGCAAACTCTCTCTGATTCTCTCTTTGCTCACTCTAATTTCTCTTACTTCCCTCCTCTGTCTTTTTTACTTGGCAGCGCACACAACACACAATAAATAGGCCATTCCACCGACCCAAACCATATAGCTCACCTAACAAGTAATAAATAAGTGGACCCCACCACCCATACCTTCTTTTCATTCATCAAACCTGTTGACCTTAAGGATTCCATCCAAGGACAATCTAGAGGTTTTGATGATACAAACGATTAATGGTGTTTGAGGACTAATGTTTACATTGAGTGTTATAGATTATTCAAATTCAAAGGATGACCTCAATGAAGCACGAAAGATCATACCAAGTATTCTATTACTCAAGATCATATCTATGGAAAGCAAATGAGACAAAATGAACATGAAGTTGTAAAGAACTAAATGCAAAGTCTATCCAAAGATAGCTTGGATTACAATGAGCAAGAAAACAACTCAAATGAAGGAAGAAAACAAGTCTACCTCAAAGCCTAAAGATCATGGACAAAGCTTGAAGAAAAGGGTAGATAGGATGGTGAGTGTTTAGGATTCAATGTCACAGTATTTATGAATCCATTTGAAGCTCATCTCTATAGGACCATGCATATCATATTATCATTCATATGCTCCTATATCCATTAGCAATAGACTATGCACTTCATTCATATACAATTGACATATGAAGTCATTGCTAAAGAGAGAATTAGTTCAAGCTTGCATAATCTTTGAAAGAACTCTTCACTTGTGCTAGAAATATTAAGACCATGCACATCAATCATATAATTTATATTGGTCAACAATTAAGGCATGAAAAGCCTTCATTACCATGAGTTGGTAACGGACATTAGGACCCCAAAATGCGCGTCATGAAAAACTGTGTTTTTGGCTAAGTGTGAAAAATGTATTTTTGAAATAATGATTATTTCAAAATAATTTTTCTCGGTAATAACTCCTTATACTCAAACTAGCCTAAACTGATTTTATCAGAATTTTTGACCAAGTCTACATTGGTCTACATGCGGATTCATTTTTACCAAAACTGTCGGAAATCTAAATTTGTACTAAAACTGAATTTCTACATTTTGATTTAGTTGGATTTCAATTTTCTAGTATTTTTTATTGAATCCAAATTGGGGGTACTTCCTTATTTACATTGTAAACTTAAAGTAAATAGACATATAAATTAAAGTATATGTCCATTTACTTAAATGTTTTCAATGAAAATAAGGTCTGTGCAGATGTCCTGTAGTGCACTGTCTTACCTGTTAACTTAGAACAATTCATGAGGCAGCAGGTCTATTTCGGTCTACCGAAATTCAGGACCATTCTATTTCGGTCTACTGAAATAAGGAACCATGGCCAACCTGAACCATTTCGGTCTACCAAAACAGAGAAGGGTTTCACTTCGGTGGTCTATTTCAGTCTACCGAAATTCATGACCATTCAATTTCGGTCTACCGAAATAAGGAACCATGGCCAACCTAAACCATTTCGGTCTACTGAAACAGAGAAGGGTTTCACTTCGGTCTACCGAAGTAAAAGTACTGAGAGTGATGTTTAAATCCATAAATCATTTCGGTCGACCGAAACAAGTGTGGGTTTCACTTCGGTTTACCGAAACAGAGATACTGAGAGGATGATATCCAACCTTAAGTCATTTCGGACGACCGAAACACAAAGGTGTTTCATTTCGGTCGATCGAACCTTGCCCAGATCTGAATCAAACGGCTATTTCATCTCGGGCAGTGTGTATAACAGCTCTATTTTTTGATTTGGCTACTGAAACTCTATAAATAGAGCAAGGGGACTTCGAGATTATGTGTTGCTACACTTGAAAGACATCTTCTAGCATCCAAAGAGCTTTTGTTTTTCATTCATATCATACTCTCTCATCCCATATCATTCATAGAGTGTTGAGCTTCAAATCTATTCATATATACACTCTAAAGTGAGCTGAAAGTTGTGAGCTAATATTTGCATATCAATCTTTGAGAGATATATTTGTATGCAACAAATTTGATCTTCAATTTGTAAGGGCTGGTGTGGCCCAAGAAAGAAGAAGCAAGCTAGCTTCAATTTGTAAGGGTTGGTGTGACCCAGAAGAAGACTAAGAGAGGTTGTCTCTTAGCAAGGTGAAGCAAGATGCTGCTTCATGTAAATGTTTGCTCTCCACTCGTAAGGAGAAGCCATAGTGGATTGGGAAGTCTCAAGAGGGGTCTTGAGCCGAGGAGTAGGAGTTTCCGAACTTCGCTAAAATCACCGTGTGAATGTTTGCAATCTCTCTTCCCTTATCTCCTATATATTTATGCTATTAATTGTTTATGTTTATATCTTGATTATAGCATAATTGTTAGAAGGGTTTAGTAGAATTTGCAAATCCGAAAATTGGCCATTGTTTACCAAAGATTCTATTCATCCCCCCTTCTAGAGTCTATACTTGGGCAACAATTGGTATCTGAGCCTAACTCTAATTAAAAAGACTTAACCGTCTTAGAGTACGATTATGGCTAACAATGGCATATTCACATACCTAGAAGGACAATGTATTGATAGACCTCCAATTTTTAATAGAACCAACTATAGCCATTGGAAAAGTACAATGATAGACTTTCTTCAATCCATAGACTATAGAATTTGGCTTGCCATAGTTAATGGACCATTCATTCCCATGAAAGAAGTAGAAAAAACAATGATTCCTAAAGAAGAGAAAGAATGGGATGCAAATGACCATAGATTAATTCAATATAAT